GGTGTGGCCTACTGTGGCTTTGAGCCTTGGACTGGGACCCTGGAGGCCTGGCTTCGATTCCCAGCTCAGCCATGAAACCCACTGGGTGGCCTTGGGCAAGTCACACTCTCTCAGCCTCCTCAGGGGAAGGCCATGGCAACCCCCCTCTGGACAAATTTTGCCAAGAAAACCCCAGGATAAGGTCGCCATGAGTTGGAAACGACTTGAAGTGGCACAAGAACAGGGTGACCGGACGCCCTCCTTTTCCCGGACACGTCCTACTTTCCAGTCTTCTGTCCAGAAGGAATGTCTAAATGTCTTCCATTCTGAGCAGGACTAAGAATCGTGACTTGACATTTATGGGAGTTGTTTGTAGCTGTTGTGTGGTCATGTCCTCCATTTTGTTCCTGACTGCCCTACATTTTGGGGTGCCTTGTCCTCCTCCTTCACGGTTATGACATCTGGTCACCCTGTATGCACAAATGTATTTACATGTACATGGTTTCATGTGGTTGTAAATAGTAAATTTGGTAAAACGTGATGTTTTAAAGGAGACTTTTAAAAACTTTTAAAAAATTATTTTGTAAACTAATTCCCTCAGAGAGTGTTGCAGTCTCCTCCTTTGGAGGTCTTTAAACAGAGGCTGGGTGGCCATCTGTGATGGTGCTTTGATTGTGAGTTCTTGCATGGCAGAATGGGGTTGGACTGGATGGCCCTTGTGGCCTCTTCCAACTCTAGGATTCTATGAAAATTAATTTTAAAAAATAGATTCATTTAAAAAAAACTGAGGCCTCTCCTTTCTCCTTCCACTGAGCTTTACCTCACTCACACCATGTCTTCAGCATTTTAAAGGGACGCAGGCAGACGCCACAGAGCATTTCTAGATGTTTGGGGAACAGCGGTGTCACCTGATGTGGCCCTCACCCCCACTCCCCGCTCAAGAGCTTAATAAATAACGGAGTGTAGTGTCACCTGGAAGACTTTGGCTAGTTTTATTTGGTAGAATTCAAAGACATAGCCACGTAGGGCTTCATCCACACTGCAGAAATAACCCAGACTGACACCACTCTAACTGCCATAGCTCAGTGCTATGTTGTGGCACTAGACCTGTTTGATAGCAAAGGCTAGGATATCTCACAAAACTACAATTCCCAGAATTCCATAGCATTAAGTCATGGCAGTTAAAGTTGTGTTAAACTAGACTATTTCTGCAGTGCAGATGCAGCCTTAGTTTGGAAAAAAAATCAGTATGAAAAGGGATCTTGTAGCTCCTTTGAAAGTAAAGACAGCATCGCACGACACTGTTACAGTGCTATCATTCCACTTTAACTGCTATGGCTGCCTCCCATGAAATCTTGGGATTTGTAGTTTTGTTGTTGTTGTGTGCTTTCAAGCCATTTCTGACATATCAACCCTAAGGTGAACCTATCATGTGTTGTTGTTTTTTTTAGCAAGTTTCTTCAGAGGGAGTTTGCCATTGACTTCCCCTGCAGCTGAGAAAGTGTGACTTGCTCAAGGTCACACAGTGGATTTATATGGCTGAGCCAGGATTCAAACCCTGATCTGAGTCCTAGCCCAACACTCAAACCACTACAACACACAGTTTACTGTGAGGCATTTATTATTCTCAGCCAGAGAGCTTTTAGGCCTCACTAAACTACAAACCCCAGAATTCCAGGCATCCATAGCCATTAAGAGGTGGAATAATAGTGCCATAACATTATAGTATGATATTATCCTTATAATGGAGAAATAAGTTGGTAGCAAGAGCTTTCGTAGACTTAAGTCTACTTCCTCAGTGCATGGGCATGAGGTTAGGTGAACTGCAGCAGCCCACTTCAAGAGTGTCGCTGAGGTTGTGCAGAGTGAGTTTTCATCACTGAGTAGTAACAATCAAGAGTCTTACAACAGTTAAAGAATTGGCAGATTTATTGTGTAAATGTTTATAGATTACAGATTAATGGACCTAACTATTACTCTCAATCAAAATTATGTGTAATTTAAATGTCATCTAGTTCTACAGGAACATGATGGACAGCAACCTCTCAATATCAGATTTATTCACCTAAACTAAAACTAAACTAAAATCCATGTTTCATAACAAGAGTAACTGTGAGGCGTAATCTCAGGACAGCAACTGCATAGGTCTGAGAATATAAATGCTTTGGATTATAAATCTCACTGGTTTAGACTTTCTCACTGCACATTCTTGTGACATTTTATGCGTTTTAACACAAGTGCACAATTTGATTGGAAATCCTAGCTTAATCATTTCACCAGAGGAAGAAAGGTATGTTGAAAGAGAAATATTACACAATGAGAGAAATCAAGAATAACTAACATTTCTTATGGTATGTTATTTCATTTAAATTGACAGAATACAGAGTTCCAAGTATTATTTACATCCAGATAATATGTCACAGTTTAAAAAAACACTTTTCTGGTTTTCACAACTTGACCACAGTTCAGCCTAGAGTTAGATGATTTTTAGCATATTGAAACATGTATTTAAGTCTTTAAGCGATTCGGGTATAAAATTATACAATGCAAAATACATAGTTTTACAATATAATTCTTATATTTATATCCTTAGATAATTCAGTATGAAGTGGTATAGCTATTGCTATATCCTGCCTTTCTTCCAAATAGTTCAAGGAATTTTCTCATTATATCCATACAGCATCTCTGTGAGGTAAGGCAGACTGGACATCAGTTGTATGAAGCTTACAGAAGATCAGAAGTCTGGAACAGAGAGGTTAACACCACCACAGGATCAGCTGAGATCACCACATTTGCTGCTGGTCCTAGGCAGGCCTCTCTCATGACCTACGTAGAACTGATTGTAGAATCTACCTGTGGAAGGATGGCTGTGGTGAGCAGGCAGAGTGCATAACAAGCAATAGCAAATACCTGGATCATATAATCATATAATTCATTGATGCAGTGTATCATATTTACTGGACCTGGGTAAGGAAGAGCTGAGGGAAATGACAGGGAAAAGCTTATTCCATCTTCACTGTTGAAACAGATCTATTGGTGGTGTATTCTGTATTCTGATCACGGTATATCCAGTTTGCCAGTGTAGCTGGGCTGACTCCAAATCGAAAGGTCCCTCAGCTAGCAGATCTTAAAGATTGTGTCTTAAGGCTTATCTCAGAGTAAGACCCATTAATAGAGTGGGCTTACTTCTGAGTAGAAATAAATTGCAGGGTAATAATTGTATATTGTATTTTGAAGTGTAATATTAACGTAATTGGTTTGCCATGTAAATAACCGTAGATTCCTCTACAAGCATTCTTCAAAATACCAAACCACACAGAGGCCATCCACTGCATCTCGGTATTACTCAATTGCTATGGTCATGCTTTCTTTAAGCAGAGAC